TACAATATAAAATTGGGTGTTCTAAGTCTAATTTGATAATATGGATAAGTGTCTTCGGGAAGAGTTGAAATAATATCTTATTATTTGTTCGGATGCTGAACCCATAAACTGAGAACCCTTGAGGTCTATCCAATAATTTTAGATGTAGAGCAATAGAACCTCAAGGTTAAAAAAGAAATTTTTTCCATGTGTGCTTCATCATTCTTGGGGATAACTGGATTTTTTCCTATGCTGCATTAGGATATCTAAGTATAAAAAAAAAACATAGTATATCTAACTTCAATGCAGTAATTGTTGAATACACTTTTTTTAGTCTTATTACTTTTTGGAAGTTTCTTCCAATAGGTTTGTGTTGACTCAGTGGATTATGATTAATTTTTCTTTTAGCAATTTTAATTGAAAATTAATTACTAAAATAATCTTTAACTTTTATATAAAAAAATAAAAATAATATTAAACTGTGTAAGTTTTGCTACAAGTTCTAATATAAGTTATGGTAAGAATGAGTAAGTTTTGGTTATATATAAGTAGAATTAATTTTTTCTTATTTAAAAATTCTGTGTGTCGTCTAAGAGTAAAAATATATTAACTCATCGTTTAACAATTTTAATTTTGTGACATGAGTTTTATAATCAATTATTAGTAAAACCATTATAATCTCCAGTGGTGCTCAAGAAAAGTTAAAAATATTAAGGAGTAAAAAATTATTCATTTAAAGTTCTTTTTCTTTAAAATCTAATATACATTTATTGAAATAAATTTGGTATTTCCTTGAAAAAAATATCTGAATAGCCTTTCCTTTTTAGCTTCGAAGCAGAGAAGGTATTGGTTTTACTAAGATGTGTTTTTTTTTTTGTGTCTGTTACCACTTTTTTTCAGCTCTCACCGAACCGATTTCTTTCAATGATACCTCAAAAGATCACAAATCGTATCTAGTCGAAGACATTACCCTTAAAAATTGAAAAAATTTCCCTCGTTTCCCGTAAATGGGGGAAACCTCCAAAAAAATTACAAATTTTAAAATTTTAAATTTTTCCAACATCAAATAATAATATCTCAGTAAGCCCAAAAGATATAATATCTATTTCTTCGATTCAATTAATACAATATAAAACTAACAATACAATTTGTGTTACAAAAGACCGAGTTCCTCGTTTTAGAGTAACAAAGTATGGTGAAGTTTTAACAAATAAAAATGTGTTAAAATAATTGGAGGAAGCAACCTCAAAGAAAAAGCTAATCAAATATCCTAGTAAACTTGGGAGACCTAAGAAAGCTACTAAAGATGTACAAAATATTGTGTTGGAACAATCAATTGATAATATTGATGATGTAGTTTATCATTCATCAGAAGATGATTGTAATGACAATTCATTAGATTTAAGTATTGAAGAAGTTTTATACAATACACCAATTTGGTCTCAAATAAAACCTGAAGTATTTCTTTGAATAGATTTTATTGGAGGGAACCGTAAGAAACAACATTTTAAGTATGTATGTTTAATTAAACGTGTAGATGAAGATGATGGGGATATTTTAGTCCGAGGATTAAAAAAAAATAATGAAATTGGAACTGATTTTTATATTGTTGAAAATGACTTGTCAGATATTACAGTAGAGATGATTCTTGCAATATTACCAATACCAACTGAACATAAGAAAAACAGAAAAACGATATACACATTTCCTGGATACATAAATGTCGATGAAAAATAATCAGTTTAGGCACACCGTTACCTACTTATTCATACATTAATTTATGTGATGTATTTAAAAACTAAAAATGCTGTTAGTTTGTTATTTTGTTTATAATTTTTACTTTACATTGTTATTTTTTATGTTAAATTATTATTATCACTATTATATGAAAACAAAAGACTAATTTAATTGTAATTTATGTAATTCAAACAAATTTTCATTTGCCCCAGGCTTATAACATTATCAATTATACTTTTATTTTCATTTACCCCATACACAATATACTATTTGGGACAAATGGAAATTTGTATGTATCGAATACATGAAATAATATAATGATATCTGTAACAGAACAATTTCATTTTCCCATTATGTTTGTTTAATATAACACTTGCTGTTGGAAATAGTTATTTTCATTTACCCCAGAAATATGGGGCAAATGTATATTTTTTATGCAATTTTATATTATTTTTTTCTCATAAAATAATCAACTATTTTAACGTTTGATTGAAATGTTAGACACATATTGTATATAGTTAACTAGTTTTTATATAAACCAAAATTAAAAAAAATTATTACTACATGAATCTAATAAAAATTGTGTTATAATACATACACCACTCATTATTCAGTAGTATATATGTTATTACCTATTAGTCATCAAATTAAAAATATTATTCATATTAATACTTTAAACTATTCCAAGAAATATGTCTAAAAATACATTGATATAAATCTACTGTAATAATTATAAGAAATTCTTTAGTTGTGACAAATTATCTATTTTAAGTAAAATAATATGTAATAAATAACACAAATTGAGTAATAAACAGATAATAGTAAAAGGTCGTGACACTTCTTGCATAGATAGATGAATTAAATTTAATATAAAAGGGCATAAAAACTGTCAATCTCTCTCACTACCACTTCACCTTATGAACTTTTAACGAATGCAAGAAGTGGCTTGACAAAATACGATTTTACATAGAAAATTGAAGTATATTCATTTTTTCAACATTAGTTCTGAAATCATTAAGGTAAATTCATATTCAAAGTAAATATAATGAGTACATAAATTAAGTAGGAAACCAGAAAAAGTAAAGTGATCTCTAGAATAAAATATTGTCTAAATAAATAAAGAGAATCAATAACGTTTGTACGAAGTTAGCCAGCCTAGTCTAATCTTTGAGTGGGTTACCTGTGTAGTCAATACTAATAAAGACTCTCTTGCGAAGATAGAGAACCCACTTGTGGTTCCTATACTACTCGAGGTTTTTATTGACTCGACTCACAGTCAGCACAAGCCTAGATAACTACTGGTACGAGTGGCGTTGTTGATGATCTATGTGTGATAATTAATCACAATAATTTATATTTAAAATTATTATTATATTAATAAATTTTCAAACATCACTTTGTTTTTCTATATTTTACATCTTCTAATATACCCTCGTACTCATATCCCGAGAGAAAATTATATTATATCATTTTCTTTATTAAATAAATATTATAGTAACTCAATTATTCTCATGCTCTTATAATACCAAAAAATATAAATAATTTTAATAAATTATCCTTTAATTACTAATAAAAATCTTCTTAATAACTTTCTCCTTTTATTTTGAGTAACTATAGTTGTAAAACATGTAAATTTCATTTCCATTTACCCCACTTGACCCTAATCCTTTTTTCATGCGACATACTTTATCTTAATCAGGATATTAATAAGGAACTAGCAGATCATGTAGCTTTTGGAATTATACACCATTTTTTTAAAATTAAACACTATCTAAAGATTTGCATAGAAGCGTTTTATTTTGATAGTGATTTTAATCACTGTCAGACATCATTATACTTGATCCAACTATGCTACGTCACCACTGTGCCGCGACCCCCTTGTGCTGGATTTTTTAATAATAATTACAATGAAATCGTTACAAAATTAGACTTCACATATTTTTAACAATGCACTCCATTATTTTTCACAAATGTTATTCTTTGATATTTTATTTATCAGTAGTTAAACATTATATAATATTAAATAATTGTTATTCCCCTTAAAAATATGTACTTATTACTTGTAAACCAACATTTAACACATTTTTCTTTGTTATTAATAAAGTAATAAAGATGTCTAGTCCATTTAATTTATTTTATGCTGTAACTTGTGTATCATCACTACTATTAGTTAGTAAAAATATTTTATTAATTTATTGAAAATTATATCTAATCTAGATTTTAATATGGAAATCTTTATCGCTTCTCAAACGCACAAAATAAATTGTCTTTTATCGTGTAAACAGGTTTTTTCTAATATTTAGAATAGAAGTGAAAAATTATTCGCTTAAGTATAGACGAATAATAATAGTGTATAATTATTATTTAATTATAATAATAATAATAGTGTTAATAATAATGGCTAGTTTAATGACGAATCCTATCATCAGTGACACGTACCCCTATACTTTTTAACTAAACTAATTAAATGTTATAATAATAGGCACTAATAAGGAGAGGCAATAAATATTTTACGTCCGAAAATTAGAATCGCTCTTCTTTCCCCTCCAAAAAAATTTAAGAGCTCACACCAGTTATATAACTGTGGTTGTTCTAGTTCAAGCCCCCTTCCTTACCTTTATGTACCTATTTTATCAAAAGTCGGATAAATATCGAGGACCTTTATTTTAATAATTATTCGTTAATAGACAGTAATCAATTATAACGCTATTTTATTATATTAATTAATATTTATTAATTAGTGATAAGGGTTATATTTTTCCATCAGATAATATATTGCTACGATACTCATGTATACAAAATTTCATAATTTTTTAATCGATTTCTCGAATAATCGATATTCGGAGCAATTAATTAATAGTCCTATTCGAAGTATTCATCGTTGTAGTAAAATCCAAATTTTTGTAACCAGGTATTCGTAGTAATTATTGTCGGAGTAAATGTATTCGGAGAATTTTTTTACAGTGTCTGAGTATATTAATTTTGGAGCATTATCAGTTCGTGGCAATCTCCGTAACCCTGTAAAACGTATGAATTGGTATACAGCATGTTATTCCCGCTGAATCTTAAATTTTTATCTTTGTTTCAACCACATATTACACGAAATATAAATATGAATATTATAATTTCATATGATCTGTACTGAAACTTTTTTAGTCAATGAAATGAATTTTGTTAATTTTTTCGATATTATTACTGTAATTAAGAGCATATCGAATAACATTTAATAAAATACTTGCTGTTATCTTACCTTATCACTATCATTAATAAAGTTATCATTGTAGTTACTTGAATATTTTTTATAATATAATAATTTAGATTTTTCTTTACAAAAGGTAATGTTTTAGAATTTAAAAATTTTTGTGTACCACTCGGGTATTGCGTTAAGTTAAATATATTGTTTTATATTGTAATATAATGGAAGAAAAAGGAAATCCTAACAGTATTACACTTCCAGATACTTTAGAAGTGTTTCGTAACTTAAAGAACGCTAAACAATTTGCTATAGATATAGGTAGAGATCTAGATTTACTAGTAACATACATTTGATTTTTATAATTAAGTAATCATTAAAATAAAAGCTAATTATTTACTGTGAAAATTAATATATCACAAAAATTGAAGTTCTAAGTATTTATTCTTTAAACTCAGGATTTACTTTTATTTTTTGAAATTTTAAAGATTTATTGATTTTGTATTAATAAAACAACTAATACTAATAAGTTTCAAAATTTAATAGGTATTTTTTTTTAAATATGTAAATTTAAAGTAATAATCTTTTTTAAAAGTAACATTTATTATAGGATTCAGTTTATTTATTAAAACTTTTTTTGTTGATAATTATTTAATATAAAATTTAAAGCTGTTAGTTATTATATTTTTTCAATTGTAGGTGGATCATTAACAAAACTGGCATATTATTCAACAGTGTCATTTAGAAGAGTTTATTATGCTACTGATAATATTCAAAAAGATAGTGATAAATCCGAAGAAGATGTATGCTATGATATTTATCTCACTTATTTTATTTTACAATAGCTTATATCTATTTTTTAATTTTTAGAAACAAGACAAGTTTGTTTATACATTATCTGAACAAGCTCGACTACATTTTGTTAAATTTGAAACAAAATATATAGAAAATTGTTTAGATTTTATTGCTGAAAACTTAGTTAACACTGATGAACAAAAAGGAAAAAGTATTAAAGCTACTGGAGGAGGAGCACATAAATATAGTAGACTTATTCAAGAAAAATTAGGTTTAGAGTAAGTTGAATATTACAATTAATGTATATTTTATAATTATTTTTCTTATGTTCATTCTGCTAATTTTTTTTAATGTAAAAATGAATTTACAATTACCCCACTTCACCCTATAAATTATATGAACTTATTTGTATTTTTTATTAGGTTATAAACTCATTTGACAACTTGTTTTTTTCCATCATAATTTCTAAAATAGATACTTTTGAAAAATATCCTTTTTAACACTTAACCTGTGTTGTTTTAAAGGATATACATTTTTTAGTAGGTATACGTTTATCTAATAAAAAAATTTTTAATTAACATATACCATAAAAAAATTATACTTATTTACTATTTATATTGTATTGAAGAATGTACGCTCACAATTTTTTTTTTTATAATGGGAATTAGTTCACCTCTTAGTGTACCATTTATACTTATCTAGTTATCTTATACAAATTGTGTGAGACCAAATTGGCTGACCTTGGAATTTTTCTAGTAAAATATTTTAGTTTATTAAAGGTTTTTAATTTTTTTTTTTTGCTTATTATTTCAACATTTTTTTTTTGATATAATGATGGACTTTCCTTATTATTACTACATCTCAAACATCTGGTCAGTATAGACCTACATTTATTATAATTAAATACATTTTATATATTTTTAAAAAATTCTTTATAATTCTATCACTTTTTTTATTATTATGAAAATTATAAATTATGTCAATTTATATTAGAATTTTTTTTTTTACCATAGAGTGGACAAAGAAGATGAACTTACTTGTCTGATCAAAGGTTGTAATTTTTTGTTAAAAAATATAAGTGATGAAGCATTTGTCTACCACAGAAATGGTAGTCCAGAATATGAATTTCAAACAGCAGATCCTCATGTATTTCCCTACATGTTAGTCAATATTGGTTCTGGAGTGAGCATATTAAAAGTAGAATCTGATCATTGCTATGAAAGAATTGGTGGTACAGCTACAGGTGGAGGTACATTTTGGGGCCTTGGAACACTATTAACAAAAGCTAAATCATTTGATGAACTGCTTGAACTAGCTGAAAAAGGAGACCATAGAAAAGCTGATATGCTTGTAAAAGATATTTATGGTGGTGATTACCAAAATCTTGGTATGCATTCAGATTTAATTGCATCGTCTTTTGGTAAAATATGTCCTAGACGAAATTCAGGTTGGTCTTCGAGATTTTTTTTTAATGTATTATTCTTTAAAAATATTATTTAAGTAATTTTTGAAATTTTAGAAAATGATTTTAATGAAGCTGATTTAGCAAGAAGTTTGCTGTTTGCAATTAGTAATGATATTGGACATATAGCTTGTTTATATGCAATGATGCATAATTTAAAAAAAGTATATTCTGTTTTATTAAGTATTTTAAACTTAAATTTGAAAATCATTTGTTATTATTATTTTTATTGATTTATATTTAGTTATCATAGTTTCAAAACAATACTATTATTTAATTTATAATTTTTTATACACATTGCTATTGTGGAAGAAGTAATTATATTGAATTTTTACTTTTGGTATCAATAATTAAATAACTAATTATAATAAATCTTAAAAAATAATAAAAAATGTTAAATTTCTGTTTAATTTAAACATTGTGCATTGTAAAAATGTCTTTTTTTAAATTATTTAAGACTTTTTTAACTTTCTGAAGTTATTCTTCTTTGATTTAATCCCAACTATTAGGAGTTGGCTACCATTATTCTTAACTTTCACTTAACACCATCTCCCATATCATCAACGAACACATCAGCAACCCTTATATTGCGAACTATTCTGAAGTATTTCATAGCATAAAATTTGAAAAAATAATAATATTATGACATAATATATATCCTTGTATATTAGTTATTTAGAATTATACGTTATAGGTATATTTTGGTGGATATTTTCTAAGAAATCATTCACTTAGTATGCATACTATTTCATTTTCAATTAACTTCTGGTCTCGAGGTACAGTTCAAAGTCTTTTTCTTCGCCATGAGGGATATTTAGGTGCTATAGGTGCATTTCTTAAAGGCACTGAAGACTGTGGTTAGTATTAGTATGATAAAAAAAAATTATTATTAAATTAATCTATATTGATTATTAGTTAAAATCAAACCAATTAATATTAGAAATATTTAAATACATATAATATTTAAAATATCTATAGATTATCATGAACTTTTTATTGTGATATTGAAATTATTTAAATAATTATTTATTAATTATTTATTTTAATTTCATAATGTCACATGTAAATTAATTTTTATTAAACATTATTTTAAAGACGGTGATAAATTTTCATGGCAAGAAAACTATGCAGGGAGCGGTAGTAAAAGTACTCGTTTAACTGGTGGAGAAAGTATAGACCAATTAGAATTAGACCGTTGGGAGTCTTTATTGACTTTTTGCCCTTTATTGAGAGATCCTTCTACTTACATTCCAGACACAGTTGATTTGAATTCTGATAGGGAAGCTAGGTATGTAAATTTAGATTAAATTTTTTTTTTTTTACTTCATTTTTTAACTATATAATTTTATAGAGAGTACTGGTTGAATTGTTTTGAACAAAGCATTGAAAACTATGTTAATTATGCTGTTGTCAGTCAACCATCAAGTCTTACTGCTAAGAGTCGTGCTGAAAAATTCAAAGAAAAGTTTATTGCTAGAGTAAAACTACTTAGAATTAAGCCATTGTGAGTAAAATACTTAGAATAAATTAAAAGTTATTAATTTATTTTCAATAACTATTTTTAATTATAGTGCTTATGGTAATTTAACAGTTAGAGGTCTTCTTGATACAATTAATCATTGTCTTAAAGAATTTGATTTTCCTGATCCTTACTTAACTGTAAGTATATATATTAATGTATTATAAATAAGACCTGGCTTTAAAAAAACATTGCAAAATATTCTAAAATTATTCTGTAAAAATGTTTTAAAAATATTAATGCTCTAAATAAATAAAAAATTATACTTAATATTAATAAATATTATATAAAATTTCCTTGAAATAAAAAATATACATTAAAATACCGTAAAACAAGTTAAAGTTTAAATCAAAAAATTATTTTAAAAAAGTTGTTATTTTTTTTTATATACACATAAAATATAAAATTAAAAATATTATTAATACCTAAAGAGAATTTTACATTTTTAAAATAAAGAATTTTAAAAGCAATATGTTGATATACACAAGTGGAACAAAATGTTAGAATAATCTAACTTAAGTTCTATTCTTAAAAAATATTTATAAATAAAAATAAAGGTAATTTAAATCATTTTTAAGGGAGTCAAGTTGCCTAACAAAATATACTGCCCCTTATGAATATTTTCATACATAATATAAAGAAAAGTAATACATATTAAACATTTTCAACCCTATATAGTACACAATCTTAATGTACCTAATTTGAATAAAAAAGTAATTTTTGCATAATTATACTATGAAATGTGTTAAAATAGAAAAAAAAAATGACTTAAACACTTTAAAAATTGCAGAATGCAATCAAAAAGTATCATTTTTAAATTATCCATTAAAAGAATCAAATTTTTGCTTGAAGATCCGGACCCTAAATTTAAATAATAATTTATATTATTTTTAATTTAAACAATTGAAGATTGTCTTTTAATATTAAATTATATACTCATAAAGTAAAAATTAAATAATTAATAAAATCATTTTCAATGGAATAAAAGAAGCAAAAGCACTGTTTTCCATCACATAAAATTAGATGTTAGATTCATGATCACTTATAGTACAATATTTGAAAAATATGTTAATATATACAATGTGTTTTTTCTGTTTTTGAAAAACACATAATTTTTAACAATGATGAATTTTGGTTGAAACCATAATTTTATAATTAAAATTTTTTTAAACAATAAAAAGTTTTTATTATAAAAAATCAATTGTTATTTACATTGTTTATAACACTTTACTTGTCAGATATTTAAGGTTAAAATAATTGAAAGAATTTTATTTCAGCAAAAGCAAACAGAAAATGAATATGCTTTAACATGCCTTAAAGATCGTTTAAAAGAATTGGATTCTTTGAAAATTAAAGAACGACAAATTGAGTTAATTATGGGTGTATTAGCAGGAAATACATTTGATTGGGGTGCTAAAGAAATAGTTGCTCTGATGAAATCAGGACAATTTGACTTTAAACAAGCAAAAAGTAAAATTCCCGGTAAAATCAATTAAACTTTATTAAAAAAATATTATAATTCCCAATTTAATTTAATATTTCTATCAAATTTACAGATAGACCCTGGTTGATAGACTGTTTGGATAATTGGGTGGTAAAAATATGTAATAATGCATATAAAAGAATTGCTATTTTTATTGATAACAGTGGATTTGATATTGTACTAGGAATCCTGCCATTAGCTAGAGAATTCCTTCGTCAAGGTTCTACTGTCATACTGTGTGCAAACTCTGCTCCAGCACTAAATGATGTTACACATTCAGAACTTAAAGTTTTATTACGATATACTTCATCAATTTGTCCCATTATTGCCAAAGGATTGGAGAGGAATAGTTTAAAATCAATGGAAACCGCACAAAGTGGACCTTGTTTAGACTTGAGGTAAAATTAATTTTATGGTATACAATTACCACCAATAAAAAATAACATTTAAATATTTAAATTGGTAAATTATACTATAATTTTTGAGATGTTTATATATTATATAAGCATCTTAACATTTTTTGTTGAAATTGTATCTAAAAATATAATGAATATTATTTTTCTAGTTTAACAAATAAATATATATGTATTTTCTAAAAAAGTTGATATATTTAAAACAAAACCTTTGATTTAGCTATTTTTAGAGTAAAATTTGCAAGTGCCTAGAGTTATAATTCAATTTTTTAAGTGAATTACTTTTTAAATACAGTAGAATTCCGACAATCCGGCACGTTCGGGACAGGCTCTGTGCCAGTCTATCGGGCGGTGCCCTATCCTTTTAGTGTAGGCTTTGCTATAAGAACAATTACGTTAATAATTAAACTAAAAATACAGTATGCAGATACAAAAAAGTTTGTTCTATTGTATTCTACTGTTCTACTGTTGTATGCTGGATTATCGGACTTCTACTGTACTTCATTAAAATTACGCATAAAAGTAAATAGTAAATAAGTACTCATAAATTTATTTGTGACATTATTTTATTTTAATACCAACCATCAATATTGAATTTTGAAGTATTCATTTTGATTACTCCTTAAAAAATCATAACAATGTAATAACTTATTTATAATTATTATAAATTTTATAATAACTAGCAGTTGACATAAGTTCTTTTAGAAATATAAAAATATTTATCAATTTTTTATTAAACACATTAATTGACATTAAGCTATAATGTAAATGGCTTATTTCTATTCAATAGTCATCATCAATATAATTCAAATAAATCATTAATTAAATATAAAATATATATTTAAATAATGTTAAAACCAATAATTAATGTATAAAAATCAAGTTTATTTCCATAATTTTCTTAATATAGACAGTGTTTAATACCACAAAAAAAAAAAAATACAAATAAACTAAAATTTTTATAAATATTAAAATGCTACAGTATCTATATTATATTAATAAGAGATTTTTTTGACCAAATTATTTTGAAATTTCGCTTTGAATATTGTTTATTTTGAAATTTTCTTTTACTGAAAAAAAATGATATATACATGGGAAAATCAAAAAGCAACAACAGGAACACAATACAGTTTTTCCTCTTTTAGAATATTTTAATAAAGAAATTATTATATTATTCCACAAATACTGTATAAATCATATCCATTAAAATTATAAAATATTTACAGAAACTTAAATAAATGATATAAAAACATTCACCACTTAAACAAAACTCAATGGCTAGATGATACCACTACTCACCTCTAGATCCTAGAAATGATATACATCTATACATCAACGGTATCCACATATATGTATACAATATTTCAAAGTTAGAAAAATAATATTTAATTTATTATATATATATACTATATCATATAGGCCATATATACTATACATATATATATATATATACTATGTATATATGGTTAACATATAAAATATGTTAACCATTTTAAAAATATTAATGGGATCAAAAGTTATTAAAGTTGACAGAATTAGGTGGATCAACCAGTATGTTATAAATTTTTTTTAATATTTATAAGATTTTCATTTATACAGGGTGTTCAGTAAGTAAGGAAACAGGTCAATTGTTACAAACAATGAGAACAATAGAAACCCATTTCCTGACTTACTGAACACCTGTATATTAAGCTTTTATTTATTTTCAATGAATATTTATATATTTTCTTACTGTAATTATAAAACAATTTTTTTTAATATTATATTTTTTCAGTCGAATAGGGAGAGAGTTAGCCAATGAATTAAACTCAGTAGATTTAATTGTATTGGAAGGAATGGGTCGAGCCGTTCATACTAACCTTGATGCTCAATTTACTTGTGATTCTTTGAAGCTTGCTATCATCAAAAATAGATGGTTAGCTAAGCGTTTGGGCGGTGACATGTTTTCTGTAGTTTGTAAATATGAAACATTGAAGAACAAATGAATTTGAACAAATATCTACTTTTTTAATAACTTTTTTTTATATATAAAAATTGGATTATGGAATATTTTTATACAACTATCATACCTTTATATTATTTTAAGTAAAAAAAATTATTAATATTTTGTGTTGTTAACATATAATTGTTAACAATTATTTACACCTTCAGCTTATTAGGGACTGGAGAATTTGACATTAGTGCAATATTTGCAGCGTTTAAACCCATTGCAATGGATTCATCTTGGGACTTTCCTTGTAAAATTCCAGAAATATAACCAGCACATAAACTGAAACAAATTGTTATAATATGGTATTGTTAATTATTTTTTACAAATTTAATTTTTGTTAAATTGATATGAATTTTTATTTGTATATACTTTTTTTAAATGTAATATTTTCATTGTTAAAAAAGGAAAAACTTAAGCATTGAACAAATAGTTTTTTATAAGAAATGTGTTCATTAAATTTTAGTTTACTTTTACTTCTAATTCTATACCAATAAATTGTCAAAATAATAAATCATATAACTTAGTTTTTTATGCCATATGAAATCTATGCATAATTTTTTTTTTAAATGTTAAAACTTTGATTTAAATTAATCTAAATCCGTAATAATTTAAACCAAGAGACTTGTTATTTTTATTATAACTTTTTATATTTCTTATTTTGAAATCTATCCGTGTTCAACATAAATTTTCAATTTACTAGTCTAGTATAGTTGACGTAAATTCAAAAAGATTCAATTCGACCCGTGGAAATATAACAGCTATTTATTAGTGGTAATTAAAACAACTCCAATGTGTTTTTGTGTGAAGTCCAGATTTCTTAATGAAAAATAGGTGAAATGAACGCAAGGTATTAGCAAAAATTATAACTGCCCTTACTAAAACATTTGTTTGTTATATTATAATTTGAAAGATATTTTTTTAAATTAATATACTATGAAATAAATAATATATAAATTAAATATTATTTGTAATACGAATAATAAAAAAAGAACATACTCCTTTAACTACAACACTGTATAATATTAACNTGATTTTAATCACTGTCAGATATCATCTATACTTATCTCATCTATGCCACGTCTATACTGTGCTTCGACCCCACTGTGCTACCGTTTTTTTTTAAAATAATGATATTTTCTCATTCCGTATCCAAGTCAACAGTATTATGTGGCCTTTCATACTTCTAATTACAGTTTTGTGGTAATTTTCCTTATTTCAAAGCTCTTCTGTGTCATCTAACAATGTGGACATAAAATCATAGGGAAAGAGTAAAGAGGTGAGTCTCACCACTATGTTTTAAAAACTATGTGGACCCCTTTACAAAATTTCTAAATACGCCACTGTCATCTACAAATTACTGCGAAAATAAAACACTGATTCACCTATTGTTTTCATAATTTATTTTCTAAATTTATTTACTATTAAATTAATTAATTTCCTATCAAATCAATAAATTGATTGATTTGTCACTCGTTAGCATGTAATATGTTACAACGACAACATAAAAGCCATCCTACATAATTCAATAAGGCAGTGCTTTTTGTTTAATGTATATCGTGTTTAAAATTACTGGTCAGTTTACCGCCGTAAAAGCAATTATGGAATTTAGTCGATATTATTGGAACTCTACGCTGTTTAATAATTCACAGTCGAGCATTTACACAAAAATTTTATACTTGTAATTGTTTTTTTTATTAATTACACATAATTTATCAACTAGTTATGCTCAAAAACAGTAAAATATCGTATTTTTTTTATTATTAAATCAACTACTTGAAAAGCAGAAAAAATAGCTTAAATTTTCTGATTATTTGAAAAGTAAAATTACATAACGCAATGAAACACCTTAAATAATAAGGAAGTTATAATATAAATTTTATGAGAATTTATGATCTTAGAATCATATAACCCTGTCGTTCAAAACATTTTAACAGCTGAAAAAATTCAGGCGTTTTATTTTTTTTAGTAAAAAAAAGACTTATAATTATATTGTCCTGTTTCGCGTCTGAAAACAATTATCTAAATGTATACATTTTTTCAATGATAAATTAAAAGCTATGCCTTGACTCTAAAAGAAAATTATTTAAATTTGTAATTTAAAAAACCTGTAAGTTTTAAAACTTAATTGTCTAAGAAATACTTTGTTATGTTTTACGCATTGTGTTTTATTTTAACGAGAATTTTCAACCACATTATGTTTTTCGCTTATTTTTATTTAACTTTAAACGTAAATTAATTACATTCACATTGAATTATGTTCCTCAAATCTCACAGTAAACCACGTATCTTAATAAATGCTAAATCACTCCTTTAAACGTTGTGTGCGAGTTCAACAAAGTAATGATCTTTTATTTTATTTTTCAGTAATTAAGTGTCATCATCAGACATAGCTGTGATAAATTTGTAAAGCATTTTAAAATTAAATTGTAATTACTGAAAGAAATTTTAAATTATCTCTCAAAGTTTAATCATACTTAATTAATTATAAAATTATGAACTTCCAGGTGCATTAAATATAATACTGATACTGAATTGAAATACTGCGACCTATAATAATTTAATTTTAGTGAATATATTACAACTGTAATCATAGCCGGATTTCATATTTTGAGGGTCGTAAGTATATGTTTCAGATGGCCCTAATTGATTATAATCGGGAAATCAATGGCGTAACTGATGGAGGGGTATTATAAAAAACCAACAAAACGAAAATAATTAAGTGTTTAAAATTAACTTTGGAAGAAATAAAAACATTTTTTCTCATACATACTTCATTCTCATAGAAAAATCCACTGAAAATATATCTTAACCAGTCTCATATTAAATGCATACTAATTTNAATTGAATATAAAATTGTATTTACTTTGAATTTTTTTAAACAAGAAAAATTACTTAACAGACAAATAACCATTTGAATTACCTGAAATAGTCTTTTAGCTTCGATGCGAAGCTGAGAAGGTATTAATTTTACTATGATGTGTTTTTTTATTTTTTTATTTTTTTTATTTTTTTTTTTGTGTCTGTGAACGCTCAATCTCAGCTCTCGCTGGACCGATTTTGATGAACAATATGTCAAAAGATCACAAATCGTATCTAGTCGAAGACATTACCCTCAAAAATTGAAAAAAATTCCCTCGTTCCCCGTAAACGGGGGAAATCCCCCAAAAAATTACAAATTTAAAAATCGCTAATTTTCGATATTTTTTCAATTTTTTTTACTTAAAATT